ATACAGATCATTGTACTGATAAAATATGAATCCACGTACTTATACAGATCATTGTACTGATAAAATATGAATCCACGTACTTATACAGATCACTGTACTAATAAAATATGAATCCACATACTTATACAGATCATCGTACTAATAAAATATGAATCCACGTACTTATACAGATCATTGTACTGATAAAATATGAATCCACGTACTGATACAGATCATTGTACTAATAAAATATGAATCCACATACTGATACAGACTATTCCAAAAAATAAAAACAATGTAAGTTTAGATATTAAAATAATAATCATTCAAAGTGTATTTAATAAGATTCAATGTCATAATGTAAAGAGCAAGTATCACAACATGTACGATGCATACACCAAACATTGAATTTTTTCAAAGAATAACTTAGGTCTTAACAGTTGAAGATTTAGTGATAGTTTTTACTGTTGATATGCATAAGGCCTATTTTTATAAAGAGATTGTGTTAAAATACTACATTAATGGTATTGGCTGAAATGATAATGTATGTTATATATTTATTTTTATTATGCGGACTGTTCTGTATTGTTAGCTTTTTGTATGAATTAGGGAACAACTAGGAGCATTGAGAGCCAGCACTGGCCCCCCTTTCTCTCTCACTCTCTTTTAACATTTTTAAGAACTTGTTAAAAAGAAGATCCTAAATTAGGAACAACCATAATAATAAAACTGGGATTATGGCTGAAGTTATCTCACATTATGCATGATTGCATGATTCTCACTGGATCACTACATTAAAACTTTATTAATTCCTGGGTTAATTGAACTGATCTGTGTGAGTAGCTTGCTTTACTCACTATATTGAAACGTTAATTAAATTATTACTATCAATATTTCCAGTTCTAGGTGTCTCCCTCTAGTGACAAGGAAAACTGTTAAATTGCAATAACTGATAGTTACCAGATGATCTTTATTAGAACATTGAATAATGAGAGAACTTCATCATAATTAAAATAATCTACGAAGTAGCTTACTCTTGCTTGTTGAACTAGTAATAAATAAAAGTTTCAATCCACTTCTATGTTCTTCATCAAAAGATTTAATTTTTTTGGAAACCTTTATGGTTAAAGTAACAGTTTGATTTTGACTTTCAATCCAAATCATTTATTTCACGGCCTAGCATGGCCAGGTGGTTAGGGCACTTGTCTCGCAATCTGTGGGTCATGGGTTCAAATCCCCGTTCCACCAAACATGCTTGCCCTTTCAGCAGTGGGGGCATTACAATGTGACTGTCAATCCTGTTCTTCATTGGTAGCAGAGTAGCCCTACAGTTGGCGATCGGCGTTGATGACTAGCTGCCTTCCCTCTAGACTTTCACTGCTAAATTAAGGATGGCTAGTGCACATAGCCCTCATGTAGCTTTGTACAAAATTCAAAAGAAACCATTTACTTCATTCCAACAATTTGTTACTTCTACAGGAAGTTTCACACCTGTAATGATTTGTAAGATGGTACAGATACCATTATAATTTTGTAGTATTAAACTTGATTAAAATATAAACAGTTAGTGTGCCAGAAAGATGAGAATTATTGCTTCTTTGTTAAACAACATTTATATTTTATTTTCATGCATTTTGTAACTGGGACTTTGTTTTTTTCAAGTGTTTTCTTATATAGCACTTTTTCATGATCTATCAAGTTTATACCCAAAAGACACTACCTGTTATCTTGAAGTTTTCTGAGATCTCACTCTTTATTTTCAGTTATGAGCAACATATTTTTGTCAAATAATTTTCCAGTCCTGTTTTTCTGTCAGTTAGTAACTTATCATTGAATAGAACCTGTTTGTTTTTTTTATATCCAGTAGTCAACAATACATTTTTTTTTTAACTTTTAAACTTAATTCTATGCAGTAATTGTTTTCTGTTTGGATTCATTTATAAATAGTTACCAATATGACTAATTGTTCTCAGTTAATTAATATGTTTCCAGAGGCCCAGAATGTGGGCTAGCTTATATATAAAAAACAATAGTACTTAGATTTGTTTTATATTAATCGAGAACAGATAGATGTTCTAGAGTAATTTTGTACTGGTTCTTCATATCTTCCGTTATGGCTTGTATAGTCAAGGTTTATTGAATTTTTACATCATTAAAAAATAGATAGATATTCTAGAGTAATCTTGTACTAGTTATTTGTGTCCTTAGTTGTTGTGGCTTGTATAATCAGTGTTATCATATCTTTTGTACAGGTTCCACCACCACATGGGTTCTTATGGAGTCTATCAACCCCAATATCCTGGCCAGGCAAATTACGGATTCGTGCCCCATCAACCACCACCTCCAGGGGTGGAAGACCGAAGCCCTTACCAAGGAGAAGGATGGAGAGGAAAATGGGAAAGTGGTCACTACTTAGCAAAGCACTGATTGATCTGACAACTCAGATATAAAATTCCTGTACTTATCAGAGACATTGCCAGAATGGAGCAAGTCATGTGCATATTTTAGTGGTTATCCATTGATCTGTAAAAAAAAAAAGGTCAATATGATGAGCTGTGATAGTATGGTCAAACCATTCTTTTGTGTTCTTATATAACTGGTGGTACGACCAATCTCCAAGAAATTTTTCTAATTTTGAATGGGGCAGGCTTGGATGTATTTTTTATGAGAGGAATTGTCTAATTTATGATTGTTAGTTGACTTTTTCAAATACATGTACAATTATATAAGAGAAATTTTCTAACGACCAGTGGAAATCCTGCTGACAATCATAATGGTTGAGCATTCGTGTCAGCTGTGGACCAGAAGATTGGAATGAATGCTACTGAAGAATAATGTTATGTTAATTCCATGTGATTTTGGTTACATACCATTTAGCAGTTATTCTGTAATGCTATTACTTTTGTACATTTTGTTTAGTTTAGAAAAGGCCTATTTTTCAAAGCTGGTTTAGGTTCATTAAACCTGTAAATGAACCCGATTCGGTTGTCGTTGTAGTCATCCTTATTTCGAAAAAGCTTGAAGAGAGGATTTTTTAAGGAATTAAAAGGTTCGTTTCTATAAAGATCTCTCTGAAACCCGTGCATGTAAATCAAAAGTGTGTGTTTTAGATTGATGGTTTTAACAAATATTTAAATTTACCATTGCTTTTAATTCACAACCCTATAATTGTAAATAAAACTTGGTTGCAGTTATACTGATGAACTGAAAACAGCTTCTAAACTAGGTGTACTTGTAACATATCTAAATGTTTTTATAAAAAAACTACCATGTGTTGCTTTGTATTACTCATCACTGATCTAACTCATGGACTAACATTATCTTTACCAAGAACTTCAGTTCCTACTAATAAATAATAATTAATTTCATCATAAACCAATCTGATCGTTATTTAATCACATTATTCAGTACACCTTGCTGGAAGATAAAGTTAGTTTCCACTCTTGAGAATGAATACCATGTGATAATCCACTTCAAATCGTACTGCAAATTTAAACTTCATAAACGTTATTTTAGTTTTAATAACGGACTTTCAGCTACACAGATTTCGAAAATAATATTAATTTTTTCTATCACCTAAGGATTTTTTACAAATCAGGAAGCAAAAAAACATTTACTTAGATCAAATTATTATTTC